CCCATTACTGGCTTACCATGCCTTGCTCTGCACTGTGTCTGTGTGGAAGTGAACATCTTGGTAGAGATTTAGGGCTTTGCTTCCCCATGTCAGATGGCTGTTGGAGGAATATTCAGGAAAGCATTACTGTGCTGCACACTGTTCTCCTTGCTGGAGAGGGAGTTGTACCCGGGGACCTGCAGTGCAAGGAACTCCCTGCTTCATTCATTCTGTGGCTCTGTGCTTCCTTCACCGGGTTCCTGCTGCTTTCCGGAACAGGAAGTACACTGCTGTGATGCAGGAAACGCTCCAGCCAAAAGGTAACATTTACTTCACAATGAATGTTACTCGATGTTCCCTATAATGGAGCAAATCTTCCGTTTGTGAGTTTCGCCCAACTTTAAGGGCTTGTTACATACATAGTATTTGGGGTTGAATAAAGACATACGTCCATCAAGTCCAACCCATATAGGTCCGCGCATCATCTCATTCTTAGGGATACTGGTATCCCTGGATATTACGGTCCCTCAAGAAATTGTCCAAATGTTTCTTGAACAAATCTACACTCTTGGCTGAAATCACTGCCGATGGCGGTGAGTTCCAGACCTTAACCGCTCTTACTGTAAAGAACCCTCTTCGCCCCTTATGCTGGAATTTTTTCGCCACCAACTTTAGGTGGTGGCCTCTAGTCTTTGTAATGGAGTTCATCTCAAACAGTTTGTTGCCAATGTTGCGGTCACCATTGAACATTTTGTACATGAAAATCATGTCCCCCCCTTAATCTCCTTAATTCCAGCGTAAACATGTTTAAGGTCAGAAGCCTGGTCTCATAGCTCTGGTCCTCCAGCCCCTCCCCCTCCTCCTTGTCTCATAGCTCTGGTCCTCCATTCCCCTAATTAGTTTTGTTGTCCTCCGCTGGACTCTCTCCAGTTCAAGGACATCCCTTCTCAGTACCGACGATCAAAACTGGACCGCGTACTCCAGATGTGGCCGAACCAACGATCTATATAGAGGCAAAATTATAGACTTGTCCCTGCAGTACATCCCCTTCTTAATACCGGACAAGACCCTGCTAGCTGGAATGCGGTGCGTTCCAGAGCAGTAGCTGCTGGAACGCAGCGCAATCCCTCACAAAACTTCCCCCTGAGTTCTGGGGTCGGAGGGGGAGTGGCGGTGCATTGAATTCAAGCTCTATTTCTTGTGTTGGCAGTGGATCGGAACGCAGGCAAAGTCTGATCGCACTGCGGGGGGTGTGGAAGAGGTGCCATTGAATTAAATGCAGCACCACGCCCCCTCCCGCCCCAGAACACAGGGGGAAGTTTTATGATCGCTGTGCGTTTCAGCATCTACCACTCTGGAACGCACCGCCTTCGGTGTGAACAGGCCGTAAATGTCATGTCCAGAAGCGCCCGTGCCAAAATGTAAGTCTGGATTCTCCCCACCTGTGCAGATATGAAGTTGGTGGTCCTGTCCAGTTGTTTGAGGACGGTCTGCTCGGGCCGGTGTATAGAGATGGGAGCAAAGTCTGTTTTGTGCATTCAGAAGCTTTGCAGGAAATTAAGAATTCTGTGTTTTATAGCGAGTTTTGTTGTCTGAATTGTTCATGTTTAATATTCTGGATTGGTAAACGTTTGACCCGGAGTTCTCCATGTTGCAGATCCAGTACATTTGGAACGGCCGGCTTATTCGACTGCTGAGGAGCCTGTATGTGCTGAACTTGGACAGTAAAAACCATTACCTCCAGTCAGTGGAGATCGAAGTGCGATGGCGCCTCCGGAAGTTCAGCATTACGTCTCTGGCGCTGCTGGCCGACTACATCGCTCCTCTGCCTCGCTCCAAGGACCGGAGGTCGCTGATCGATGACGTGGTGAAACAAGTGGAGCTCCGATGGACGGAGATCAGGGACACGTGGACCTTGGTGACGCTGATATGCAGGCTGGGCTACATGTCGGAACCCCTCATGGAGAGATTGGAAGATAAGGTATCGTTACAGACCTTCTGTGGAGAAAGGTCGACATCTGTGGTTCAAAATACACTATATGGCCAAAGGTGCACCCCCTCCCCCATCCTTCAAATTACTGATTTCAATGGGTATCAGTAAAGGGTTCTATTACTGCTAATTATTGTAGACAATTGGGCTCTTCCAGCCTTGTAACAGTTTGGTGAAGACTCTTTTCTGTTCCACCATGACTGTCGTGTAGGGATATACCGATACTGAGTATTTGGGCGAGTACTGGAATTGGTGCCAATACCGAGTATTTGGGCAAAGTACTGGTACTGGCCCAAATGCTCCCATACCTTTCCCGATACTGGAACTTCCGCTCAGAGGAAGATTTCCTCTGACTGGCAGCGCCGTAGGGGAACATGGAGCCGGCTTCCAGTGTGATCAGGAAGCTGGGCGGAGAGTAATGACCCACCTCTTGGCTTCCTGATTGGCCGGGAAGCCGGCTCGATGCTGATTGGCTGGGAAGTCGGCTTATCGGCCAATCAGGAAGCTGGGAGGCGGGTCATTACTTACCGCCCGGGTTCCTGATTGGCTGAGAAGCCGGCTCCATGCTGATTCCTAGCCTATCGCAATCAAGCCAGCCAATCAACATGGAGCTTTCCGGTCAATCAGGAAGCCAGGCGGCATGTCATTAACCGCTGCCCAGCTTCCCGATTGCCTGCCGGCTCCATGCCAGCGGAAGCACCGGAGAGCAAAATATCCGTACTCGATACCGAAAAAACGATATCGGCGCGTCCTTAGTCCTGTGTGTACAAAAGCCAGCTCCATAAGGACTCTGGTTGGTGGAGGAACTTGTGTATTCTCCACAGAGCCCTGACCTCAACCCACCTGTGTACCTTTTGGAATGAATTGGTGAGGCAGGTCTTCTCCTCCAGCCTCAGAACCTGACCTCACCGGAGCATATTCCCACAGACGCACTTTAGAATCTCGCGGAACACCTTCAAAGAAGACTTCTAGCCAACAAAGTTGGAGGTAACTCAGTTTTCCCCCCGTGGTTTTGGAACCGTGTCAAATAAGTTCATATACAGGTTTGCCCCTCCCCCTATTTTATCCAGGTCCTCCTGTAATGTTAGTGTTTAAGTCCGTGTCTATTACCCTCCCCATTTTGGTGTCATCCGCAAACACGGAAATATCGCTGTTAACACCCTCCCCGATGTCATTAATAAATAAGTTGAACAATATGGGACCCAGCACAGAACCCTGAGGCACACCGCTCATTACACTAGCCCAGTCTGAAAAGGTGCCATTTACAGATACCCTCTGGACACGTTCCCGTAGCCAGTTCTCTATCCACGTACACACCACCTCATCTATGCCCATAGCCCTCAGCTTGTGTAGCAAGGTCCGATATTGTTCCATGTACAATCCTTTTTTTATTGATTGCATGTAATAATCCACTTTTTTGAGGTTGTGGATTTGGGGTTCTTGGGGTTTTCATGAGCTGTGCGCCATAATCATCACAATTATGACAAATCACGGCTTGAATTATCTTGCTTTGCATGTAATGAGTGTCTCTCATATATTAGTTTCACCTTTTAAGTTGCATTAGTGAAATAAATGAACTTTGCACGATATTCTAATTGAGTTTCACCTGTAGATGTGATGGTCAAGAATAGTGGTGGCTGGTGATAGAAAATGGGGGCCAGCTTCATGTTAATGGCCATGGTTTTGGAGTGGGATGTCCAAGGATCTCATATAGGTGGGGGATGGTCTTGAACTTTTGGCCATATAAAAGAAGTGCTGATTTGAGAAAATGTTGATGTTTGATGAAAAATGATGTATAAATGTACAGTTTCTGCCTTACAAAGGCCACGTCACCATATCTGTGCGGCTTTCTCTTGTCTTAGGTCCTAGAATTTGCAGAGACGTTCACTCCTGCGGAGTCCCGTAGAATCATTGTAGCTCTGGCTTCTCAGAATCGCCGATCGTTGCCTGTACTGCGGGCGCTGTCCTACCACCTGATGCAGAACAAGTTGGAATTCTCCCCAACAGTTATGTTTAGGGGGTCCATGACTGCCTGGGTGTGCAGGAAGTGATTGATGCTGGGAATCAGTTCAACCTGATAGAGGGGCAATCAGCGCGAATGGGGCATGAAGGGCAGAGAGAATGGTGGATTCAATTTTATTTTTGTGATACAGGATGGGAGGAGAAAAGAACTCCAGGATCAGCTTAATTTTTAATACAAAGCACCCCCCACCCCCCTCCTTTTCAACTAGTAAATTAGAAGCTGAAATACAAAAATGTCATCTAACTCTGAGGGGATGAGAGATCTGTGAGGTGCCCCTCACACCCCTCAGGCACTTGACAGGTGCTCTTTGTTGCTGGACCAGCGGTGTGCTTTATAAGGTGCAGCGTAGCAGGAATGGTCTGTAATTTGCATGAATTGCCCTTAAAATTAGATGGGCATTCACAGGTGGGCAAGACCGAGATGGATCTGAAGGATCTTCCCAGTCTATGCACGATATCGCCAGTGCAGATTGGCCTAGTAACCTTTGTAGGAACCCCAGTGGAGAAGGGCTATACTAGTACATTTAACTTTTTGATGTGCAATAATATGGTAACATTTTTGGGAAATCTCAGCAAAAACCAGCAGTCTTGTCAAATTCAGCAGCTCCTGCTCAGTGGGGTCTGTTGGCCAAAACGGCTGCAACATTACCTGGTGTTCATGGGCCTCATTTCCTGTGTGTGGATGTTGAGGATATATTGCACTACCGACACTGCTTGTGTGTAATCTATTGTATGGACCAGTGTTGAACCTTCACTGATGGCTGAATTCATGGGCACAGCACAGAGCATATGGCTATTGCATACGCACATCAACCATTAAATGCTTTTCTATGAACCTTATATCCTTGTTCTTCCAGCCAGACTCAATTTCTGCCAGCCGCAAGTTTTACTGAAGTTGGTCACAGACATTATTCCCATGTTACCGAAAATATCCCCATTAGATGTCATCGTGTTCCTCCGGTCCCTTTCCGGCCTCAGATTTTCCTACCCGCCTCTCAGTGAAGCTGTGGCACAGGTAACTAATATTATTAGGTCATGCTCTTATGTTTTTAGGGGCAAGCTCCTTGCCAATTGGAGGACCCCCCTTTGTTCTCTAGGTTGAAGCAGTGGTCTTTGTTGAGGTCCAACGGGCACCCTGCTGAGTCAGAGCGAGAACACTCCAATCAGCAGGGAGCATAAGCTGTGCTGATTGCAGAACTATGTCAATGCCGGGAGGTATGGGGGGTGGCGGGGCGGGTTTTAAATCGGAGAGACCACTGCTTCCACACAAGGAGCAGGGGTCCTTCTCCTATAGCATAAAAAAAATAATAAAGTCACCGGCACTCCAAATGAACAAGTCAATAAGTTTATTGACCCAAGTGATAACACCTCTAGCAACGTTTCGGGACCATGCCGCCCCTTCCTCAGGCAAACATAGGAAGGGGCTGCATGGTCCCGAAACGTTGCTAGAGGTGTTATCACTTGGGTCAATAAACTTATTGACTTGTTCATTTGGAGTGCCGGTGACTTTATTATTTTTTTGTACGTTTTCACGGAGGCATCCGTTGTTGCTGCTGCACCCGCCCTAATACATTGGGCATTCTTCGGTCACAAGTGCGATTTGGGATATATGGACTTTTGATACTTCTCTATAGCATGTCTCTGGCAGGGGACGGCCTTTTCTACTTGGGATGTGGTTCAACTGGGATTTTAAGTCCATTCCTGTGTACTACATATACATTGCATCAGGATAGTCCGAGACAAAGGCCATATCCGCTATGGATACTTTTTGTATCATTTCCAATATACCGATACAATGTTGCAATGTTCCCCATACACTGCGAGGGAGTTCTTACTCGCACAGTCTTTCTCAACCTTTTTAACATGGAGGCTTCCTTGAAATAACGTTCAGGGAATAACTAATCGTTTTTTCATAGACGCCTCATGGCATGTTTGTGGGAACAGTAAGTTGTAGATATAGAATTAAAACTATAAGCATTTGTACTTTTGACACTCAGAGCTGCTCTATATGACTTCTTTTTAGTGACAATAAGTAAATGAAACAATTGTAATAATAATGGTACGTAAAGAAACCCAGAAAGTGAAAATTGTAGTGTTCCCTCATATTGTTGGTCGGGGGCAAGAATGCTCCTTACGCTGGCGGTCGGGGGCAAGAATGCTCCTTAGAGGAGAACGGCTATACTAGTACATTAACTTTTTGACGTGCAATAATATAACCTTTTTGGGAAATCTCAGCGTAGACCGGTGAAGACCAGCAGTCTTGTCAAATTCAGCAGCTCCTGCTCAGTGGGGTCTGCTGGCCAAAATGACTGCAACATTATCTGGTGTTCATGGGCCTCATTTCCTCTGTGGTGGATGTTGAGGATATATTGCACTACCGACACTGCTTGTTTGTAATCTATTGCGTGTTCTATTCCTTTGCTAGCTGTACTGTATATTATAGTTTGTAGGTGTGTAATTGGTATATTAGATGTTATTGAGTCACCTGAGTTAGGCTGCAGTGTGAGCTTGCACACAGGGGTCCATGGTCATGTAGGGAAGGACAGTCCCAATAACTGCAGGGGTGTACCCGAAGCAAATGTAGAAAAAAACAAAACACCCGCCCGGAACTGCACGTCCCGTGTTTCGACCAATAGGAATTCAACACCCCTGTGGCACTGGAGTGACTAGGGAATAGACTGACACTGGAAGCATAGGGCTGTTTGTTTGGCTTAGACCAGGGATGTCCAAACTGCGGCCCTCCAGCTGTGGTGGAACTACGAATCCCTGAGGCCTTGCAAGATTCTCACAGCCACAGACATGACTCCCGGAGAGATGCTGCATGGGATTTGTAGTTTCACCACAGCTGGGGGGGCCGGAGTTTGGACATACCTGGCTTAGGCGTAGCAACACGGCACAATGACAGCCTAGTACATGTGATCTGTGTGGCTGTACAGCTGCCTAGATCACTTGTAGTTGAGGAGCTGGCCCTGCCTGCCTGAGGTCATTGGTTGCTAGGAAGCCAGCAGGCCTGGCAGCCATTGACTGATTTGGAGGGGGAAGGGGCGGCTGTTGCCTGGGCTAAGTTATGGTTGGAAGTGTATGCATTCACAATCAGCCAGCCATAACCCAGCACGGGTAGGCAACCATGGTCCAGACAGAACCGCCATGATTGACAAGCTGCAGGCTTGTGAGCAGTGACAATGCTGACAGCCATGGCGGCTTCAATGTCTTCTCATCCCACTATAGTGCAAGCAGATGCATCCTACATGAGTAACAACTCTGCTCTGAATTCAGGAACATTGCAGCATTGCTGCCAGACCAGAGCTGCACTGGGTGGGCTCCACAGCCAGGATCAGGAGGTATTTGTGGTCCTTTGCTGAAGACTAAGAGAACGGTGTTGTGCAGTGCTTATGCACGAATCATTAAATGCTGCAGGACTTATTGTTTTATTAAAGGGAGGCCAATGCTCTGCTTGTAACAAGATGGTTCAGAGAGCAAGGCCTAACGTGCTGAATGCCCCAGACACACCCCACCCCCTGAAATAGTGCCTGACCAATGTAACCTCTCCTCCTTGTGTGTTTTTTGTCCTCACAGGCAGTACTTGAGCGCAGCAAAGAATTCAGCCCGGCACAGCTCGGCAGTGTCCTTCTCAGTTTTGCAAAGCTCAATTTCCAGCCCAGTCAGAGTGAAGAATTCTTCAATATGGTAAGTGTCCGACCATTGTCTGCTGCAGTTGGAGCAGACGCTTCTGCATTTTCTACATTATATCTCTGTATTGTGTTGAGACTCTTGAGGCCCTAAAATGCACCCAAAATGACATTTAGTTTAGGGCATAGCCTATTGCATGCAGCAGTCAGAGTGCAGGGTTAGGGCTATGTAATGCACAGCTTGGAGATTTCATTGGTCAGGAGTTGGTGCCCCCTTTGTGGTGGTGAGTGGCCCTTTAAATATTGATCCGTGATGTCCGCCCTCCTAAATGTAGGTGATCAGTGGTGTGTGCGCCATAACTGTTAGCTGTAAAGGGAGGTTTTCTCCCATAACATTGGTGGTCATTGTGCTCCTTTTATGGTCTGCGTGCCCCCTGTGTACCTCCTTGTTGCTCAGTGGTGGTCAGTGGGAGCATTGTTACTCATAGGATTGGCAGGGAAAGCCCTGGTAGAAAAAGGAAGTAAAGAGAACCGTAATATTCGGCAGCAGGGGAGGAATCCTAAATTTAAACAGACATTCAACGGTCGCACTGGTAACACCCACATGTGGTGCTGGGCTTCTATGATTGGAAGGACTGTAATCCAATGAATGAGAGTGGCAGACCGGGGCAGTCAGGCCGGGGAGGAAAGGACTAAATATTGATTGACATCCTCAAGCCGGGAAGTGAGACGGGCTCTATCTGAACTTGCTGCAGCTTCTAATGCACATTGTGGGGAGCTCCGTGGACCATTAGTACTCCTGATTAGTATCCCACCTCCTCATCAATATGTAGGTAGGCATTCATATACAGAGTTAGTTTTTGAACTTCCTGCAGTGATGCCACGGGTTAAATTCCTGCCCCACCTACCTATTTCTCAGTGCGGAGCAGAGGGGGGGGTGGTCACATGACCAGATAGAAACAAGCCAAAGAAAGGTAATTTTACAATAATACTACTTCCTGATCTATGTCGACTTGCTTCCTGCTGAGAGGAAAAGGTATTAAAGCACTTTTTCCATGCGGGAAGTCTTTGGCTTTGGTTACAGATTGGAATTGATAGAGAACGTGCAGCCTCGTCAAATTCAGCTCCGCCCACCCCCTGGCGGTCGCTGGCCAATGGGCTGCTACAGAAACCTGTAGCTCATGGGCCTCATATTCTGCCTGGTAGATTATGGGGATAAGATTGTGCTGCAGACATGTACAGCATACAGGCAAGTGGTGAAAAGCTGACCTGTAAAATTTTTGTCATTTAATTGGGGATTTACCTCACTTCCTGTCTGATCCAGAAACAGGAAGTGAGTAAAATCCCCAATTAAATGGGGGGGTCCTCAGGACAGGAAAGCATGAATGGCAATGAAAAGCTCTAACCTTTCCTCACTCTGCTGAAAATGTGTCTCCATTGGAGAGATTTCTTATCACTTCCTGTTCCCGGCGGGGAGGGCGGAGCATTTGATTGTCCTTTCTGAGGCACCAGTGCGAGAGGAAGGGCAAACGGTTAGATTCACATCCCAAATATGTCCCTGTGAACTATTTGTCCTGCCGAAGAAATGGACAACATTTATGTCGCCTGTTTTCTAATGCAGACACCCCCCCCTGCGGGACAGCACAGCATGATCCTGACCTTACTTTTCTATACTGTAGTTAAAGCATTGCAGCTTGGTCAGGGCCCGCCCTGGCCTGTGATTGGCTGCTGAAGGAGCAGCAAGGTAACAAGGTCAAACGTATGCATTTCATTGGTCATTCACCTCCGTGTGGGCTGTGCAGTATAAAGAAGTCTGATTGGCTTTCGGAGCTGCACCTTCCTCCTAGTCTGGGATCCTCGTTCTACAGCCAAACTTTCCACCTCTCGTGAAAATTAATTTTTATAACTTTACCTATCAAAAAAAATAAAAAAGATTATAAATCCAATATTTCCTTTCTTTTTCTTTAGATTCACCAAAACCTCCTCTCCGAATTTGACTCCCTAAACTGGTCGCAGCAGATTGACACGGTGTGGTCGCTGTGCGTCCTGGGCCATGCAACCACGCCGTATTTCCAGAAAGTTCTGGATCCCCTATTTTACAACCCAATCCTAGGTATGAGTCTGGCGGAACCCGTCGCTGCCCGGAAAAACAAAATATGTGCCGATTACTCTGGCCGTCAAAGCTGGAGCCAACCAAAAAGTTTTTTTCTTTCTATTCGGGTAGGGATGCACGAAAATGAAGTTTTTAGACCGAAAATTACTTTTTTTTTTCCAATCTTGGCGTTCAATTATTTTATTATAATTTTCAATTTATTTTTTAATTTTCTTTTACCTTACTGTTAGTCCCGGTTCACACTGAGTGTTTTGTAGCGTGTTTTCTGACCTAAACGCTCAAAAAATCTTAATTTCTGTGGCCCTGTTAAAGGAGAACTATGGGGTCAGGGCTTTTCCCCATAGTTCTCCTTAGGGTAACGGGAGGACACAAACTAGCCTCCCGTCATCCTAGGCTCAGCATATAGGGAGCTACAGCTCGCGGTATACTGAGACGCCGCAGCTGAAGCGGATCTCGACAATTATGTCTGGATCCGCCCAGCTACGTGAGTGACAGCTGGCTCTGCCTATCTAGAGGCTGTACCCGCCCCTCCCCCGTCCGTTCCGTCAGTCAGCGCTGGCGGATCGGAGCGGGGAGAGGGGAATCCCCCCCTCATAGTTCTCCTTTAACATCTGAGCGTTTTGTCGCAGTAAGCAAAACGCCTGTCGCTGGAAAAAGTACAGGAGGTTTTTGTTTTTTAGCATATTACAGCTCGTTTTGGTTCCATAGACTGAATAGAAAACGCTTAAACGCCCGTTTGCTGTGTTTTTGCAATTTCTCATTAAGGGAGAATTGTGAGGGGAGTGATTTTCACTCCTCATAGTTCGAGCCGACGTGTGACAATGAGACTGTCACAGGTCGGCTCAGTAGATCAGGAAGTGATGGAACGCATACCGTCGCTCGCTCACTTCTCGATCTCCCTGCAGAGAGCCTTGACTGTCACTCAGGGCTCCCTGCAGGGATTCCCCCGCTCCGATCATCCAGCGCTGACTGGCGGAACGGACAGGGGAGGGGGCGGGCACAGCTGGCTCTGCCTCCTAGACAGGCTTCCTATTCATTCATAATCTAGACATAGTAAAAATTAACTATCTGCTCACTTTATGAATGAACAGGAAGCAGCTCAATACAGAGGCTTTCCTGTCCATTCATGACTGGGTTGATGGTAAATATTTACTAATACCCCAATCAACCTGAGCGGTGCGGGAGGAGAGACGCCGGCCGCTCACAGCGCTCTCCTCCCGCAGTGCTCGGCCGGCTGTCACACTTTCTTTTCTCCCCGCTGGGACACAGAGCAGGGCATTTATCCAAAAGTGCCATTTACGGCCGATATGTCGGTGCATCCCTAGTCATTTCTAATATTAAACCCATACAGGCACAAGATTCTTTTCCCCCAATGTGTTCCTTTGAGCCTCACGTGCTCCCGTCTGGCTGTAATCTAAACTTCCATACTTTGACTTCTGCAGAGAAAAGTTCAACGACTATCAACCACTGCTCCAAGTTGATGCACATAAACACCACGGCGATGCTGGAGAGCCCGGATCATTGGGGCGCGCTGCTGCCGGACGATGTAGTGCAAACCCTTTACAACAAGAACTCGAACTACACAGCCAGCGCCCTGCAGAAGGAGATCAGAGACGCTCTCAGGATGGTGTTTCCCAACCCCGAGACCTGCAGCTACAATGTGAACACCGTCTACGGCTGGCTTTTAGGTGAGAGGGGGATGGCCTTGCTGGCGCCACGCCCCATACGTTGTCCATGTGCAGCGGGCGTAAGGGCCGTAATACGCCCGGACGCCTTGAGCTCCTTCCACGAAGGCCGACGGCAGTTTTGCAGCCTCGTCAAATTCAGCCCCGCCCACTCTTGGCGGCCGCTGGCCAATGGGCTGCTATAGAGTATTGTAGCTCATGGGCCTCGTTTCCTCTCCCGTGGAATGCGGGGATAAAATTGCGCTACAGACAAATGCGGAACTGTGAGCAAAGCAACAAATATATAATGTATTAAATTGGTTTTCCCATTTCTGATGGGTCTGTACCAGGGATGCGCCGATACCGGTTTTTGGTATCTAGCACAGATATTTTTTGTTTCCCCAATACTTGTCGGTACCGAGTACCGGTGCTGTGTGCCCTGATTATCAGGATATTGAGCGGCGAACCATGACCCGTCGCCCGGCTTCCTGTGCTTCACTAGAGAAAGAACACCGGCTTCAGAGGCTACCTGGCTTCCTGACCAATCAAGAAGCCGGGCAGCGAGCCATGAGGTGCCGTACGGCTTCCTGATCGGTCAGGAAGCCAGGCTGCTTAGCAACACAGGAAGCCGGGCGGCACTTAATGACCCGCCTCCCGGCTTCCTGATTGGCTAGAAAGCTGGCTTCGCTTGTTTCTAGGCAGCCTGGCTTTCCTGACCAATCAGGAAGCCGGTAGGTGGGTTATGTGCTGCCCAGCTTCCTCATTGGCTAGACAGCCGGCTTTACATACTGTTAAGCTGCCCAGCTTCCTGTTTGGCTTGGCAGCCGGCTTTACGTATTGTTAAGCTGCCTGGCTTCCTGATTGGTTAGGAAGCCAGGCTGCTTAACAATACATAATGCCGGCTCCCTAGCCAATCAGGGAGGCGGGTCATAACCCACCACCTGGCTTCCTGATTGGAAGGGAAGCCGGCTCCATGCTCTCTCTGCATTGTCGGTCAGAGGGAGATCTCCCTCTGACTGGAAGTTCCGGTATCGGAGCATTTGTGCGATTACGAGTACTCGGTATTGGCACTGATACCGATCCTAGTATCGCTGCATCCCCCTAGTTTGTAGAATGTAACACTGGTGATGGTGCCTTTTATATCGCTTGCCCCTCCCTTTTAGATTGTAAGCTCTCCTGGTCAGGGCCCTCCCAACCCTCTTGTCTCCCTTTTGCAAAGCGATGTGACATCTGTGGGAGGTACATGAGTCCTGTATAGTAATGACCTCCGCCACGTTCCCTGGTGTAGGGATTTCTCCAGTGACGGTGAGCTGTCTTTTCTCCTTCGTTTTAGATGGCGAAGTCATTCTCGATTCTGAATTCAAACCTCTAGCCGTGAAGAATTTCGTGGGGCCCCATAATGCACAGTCCGGAGAGACGGAGCCCCTGCCGGAGGAGGCCAGGAGGTGAGGAGACCCCAGAAACCAGCACTAATGAGCCTTCATTAAAAGGGGAAGGGGGGAATAGAAATGTGACCTCCAGACAAAAGCAGCCAATCAGAAACTCTGCTTTTATAAGAGAGAACTATGGCCAAAACTTTAGTAGTCTTTTGGGTCACAGGAGGACATTTACTCAGGTCAGATAGAAGACTGAAGGGGAGGGCGGAGGTCAGATAGAAGACTGAAGGGGAGGGCGGAGGTCAGATAGAAGACTGAAGGGGGGGGCGGAGGTCAGATGGGAGACTGAAGGGGAGGATGGAGGTCAGATGGGAGACTGAAGGGGAGGACGGAGGTCAGATGGGAGACTGAAGGGGAGGACGGAGGTCAGATG